AGTGTAAAACTTTGAAAATTGGTGCTTTTGAAGATCTCTATTATTAATAAATTACGGAGTTGCCAGTGCATCTTGAAGAGGGTTTTGGATCATGGGCACCGTTTGTTTTCTTGATATTTACGTTTCTTTTTAAACATTATCGTAATATTTACGTTTCTTTTAAATCGTTGATTACTATCAAATCGCGGTATTTGTCGCTTGAGCAACCGCATTCAAGGCTAGTTTAGTATTGCTGTACTTTAAAAAAAAACTGTTTTTGCTATGCTGCGAGAATAAACAGTTAGACGTTTGGTTAACTGTATTTGAAAAAATGTTGCGAAGAGTCAAAGTGTTTGATAAATTTTTATCAGAAGTGCTTTTAGTATGTATGCAACCTAAAAATTAAAAATAAAGGCAAAAAGCAATGTTCTCTCAAATAAGACCCCACTCTAATTTTCATCTCTCAACCCCAAAAATTGTTATGATCGTCCTTTATTTAGATATTGCATTACACTAGTAGTTTTTCCGTTAACTCTGTTAAATTTTGGGCAATGATTTCCCCACTCCTATTTTATCCACTTACACTCCTTTTTTAGTTATAAAAAAGGAGTGTAAGTGGATAAAATAGGAGAAAAAGGAGTGGGGAAACCACCACTCTAAATTTTCTGTCAAAATTAAGGACAAATTAAGAAATTCATATAAAATTTTAGGGGCAAATAAGACTCAAATTATTAGATTACAGGGCACTCGCAGAAAGAGAGAGTGAGAAGGAGGAAGGAGACAAAGCCATTTTCTTTTTCTTTTCTTTTTTTCTCTTTTTTTTAGGGGTGGGTTTGTGATTTTTGGTAGACCCCAAACGGCAGCAGGTAAGGGACAATGATTCTTTGTGTTGATTAAAAAAAAAGAAAAGAAGGGGGATTTTGTTGATGGTATATTGTGGTTATTCTTGTGTTCTGGAGCCTCTATGACCTGGCATTTGGTTCTGTATTGCAGGAAATTGAGAGAGAGGTCTTTATCTGAGGGAGGGGGGAGGGGTAGAGGTAGGGGTAGGGGTAATGGCAGTGGTTGGTTCAGTTGCTGGGTGGGATCATCATTCAGCCTGTTAGAAGAATTTTTATTTTATTTATTTATAAAAAAGGCGATTAACATCTCCTTCCAGATCTTGCACCACCCCTCGCTCGGGTTAAGCAATGTGGTCGAAAAATACGGCAGCTAAGCTCAGCTTGCATCAGGTGCTGCTAGTAGTGTTTGTCATTTGGCTAGGTTGGGTCAGCCCGACATAAAAATTTTGGGTTTGGGCCGAGCTTTACGGATTTTTTTAAATTTTTCAGGTTGGGCTGAGGTTTCAAATGTCAAGGCCTGAGCTTGTCCATTAGGCCATGCCTAAACAGTCTTGGCGGGCGAGGCCGCTGGGAAATCGAGACAAGTATAGTGGCGGGGGGGTTTTGAATAGTTAGGTATTTTATATACTTGTATTTTCTCCTTCGGCCCCCCCAATTTTACAATTCTAACTCCGTCCATAACGGCATGTACCTTGAGGATCCCAAAAAATATAACACCTAGATTCGAGGGTTATACTCCCAAGATTCCCAAAATACACTAGGCCTTTTAATTAAATAAAACATGTTAGATCATAGTTGTAAATAACAACGGAAAAATGGATAGAACCAATAACCTAAAAAGTTATTTTACAAACCGTAAAAATTAAATACACACTAACCATCCAGAATTTATACAAATGAAGGAAATGAACAAGAAGTACACTCAGCTATGAGGAAAGGAAACCACGACCTATCAGAGATGATGAGGTATATGAACCAAAAGTGTTGACAGTTCAAAAACAACACCAAGTGACGCTCAAGGATTGTAATCTACATAGAAAAGTAGAGGTGAGTATCACATACGTTCATTTACCCAGCATGGGGGCTCCTGACTAGATTTGAAAATAGAAAGCGAAATAATAAGCCCAGGTATGCTGTATGTCACATCATCATTTAACGGATTTTCCGACAACAAGACAACAAAAGGGAAAAATTAAGGATTAACTATAGTAAACCCCCCAAACTAAGGGAGGTCATTACAAACACATATCCAACGTTTATTGACCCGTTTGACCGATACACAAACTTCACAAAACCTTTCAAAGTACCCTATGTTAGTCCACTGTTAATAAGTCTATTAAATTCTGACTTTGCAAACGTGGATCCCATGTTTTTGCTCACCTGGGTTCTATGTAGACCAAAAAATTACTAAAAGATTATTTTATTTTAAATAATTTAAATTTTTAAAAAACAAATATATTTAAAAACATAAAATATTTAAAAACTAACCCACACCTTGTCAAGATTTCAAAGGAACGAACCCTTGGCCCGCCACTAACAACATCGATATTGTCCCAACTTAACTACCTGTTTAGCAGGTATGAGGTTTTATGCAAAAGGCCTCGATGTTATTAGGAGTGGAACCATTTATTATATGAGACTTTCTATTTTGTTAAGTTTCCGATGTAGGATTCGTGTATTCTTCAACACTCCTCCTCACGTGGGACCACTTTTTAGTGGGCCACACGTGCAATGAATTCCACATCAGTCGTTTTTTTTCTTTTTCTTTTTTTCTTTTTATTTTTAATTTTTTAATTTAGGGTTTGTTTGATTTTGATTCAATTTGGGGTTTTTGTTTATTCAAATTTCTCATATTCAAATCCAACTCTTATCTCAAATTTCTTCAAATTTCTCATATTCAAATCCAAAACCTTAAATCAAATTCCTCAAATTTTTTTCCCCAAATCTAAATCCCTCAAATCTAAAGTCCTCAAATCCTCTTATCCAAATCCCTAAACACATACCATCAAATCTTATACACATACCTCTTAAATCCAATTCATACATCAAATTTCTCACATCACCTTCCCCACCTTCTCATATCACATTTTTCTTCCGCTGCGATGTCAAGAACTCATACGATTCTCCATCTTGTTGCAGACTCACAGAAGCATGCGGTCAATCCTGCTGACCTGGCTATCCAGACTCCTTCTTCTATCAAAGGTTGTACTCTTCATACATCCTCCAAGATCAGATATTGCATATGTTGTGAGTGTGGAAGAGTATTTCATGACTCACTTCCCAAGTTGGGTATTCGTGACATATATGCACCAACTTGAGGAGGAGTGTTGACGTGAGTCTCCTAATTAATCAAGAAAATTTACTTCCTTGATTAATTAAGGGATTTACTTTCCTATTTTTTATATAAGTGATAAATCATTATACAATTTGGATATACTTTCATAATTCTTGTTAAGATTTCAAAGGGACTGACCCTTGGCCTACCACTAACAACATCGATATTGTCCCCAACTTAACCACCTGTTTAGCAGGTGTGGGGTTTTATACAAAATGCATCGATTCTATTAGGAGTGGAACCATTTATTATATGAGACTTTCTATTTTTTTAAGTTTCCGATGTGAGACTCGTGTATTCTTCAACACTCCTCACGTGGGATCACTTTTTAGTGGGCCACAAGTGCAATCAATTCCACATCAGTCACTTTTTTTTTTAATAAATAATTTTTAATTTGGGGTTTGTTTGATTTTGATTCAATTTGGAGTTTTTGTTTGATTTAGGTTTAATCAGGCCCGGTCAACCGATCCGCTTTGATATCATGTTAAAGTTTCAGAAAGGCGGGTTAGTGACCCACTACTAACAACATCGATATTGTCAAAGGGGTCGGTAGACTGGGCCCGATTAAACCCAAATCAAACAAACTCAAATCAAACAAAAAACCCCAAATTGAATCAAAAATCAAACAAACCCCAAATTTAAAAATATAAAAGAAAAAAAAAGTGACTGATGTGGAATTGGTTGCACGTGAGGCCCACTAAAAAGTGGTCCCACGTGAGGAGGATTGTTGAAGAATACACAAGTTCCATATCGGAAAATTAACAAAATATAAAGTCTTATATAATAAATGGTTTTACTCATAATAAAATCGAAGCCTTTTGTATAAAACCTCACATCTGCTAAACAGATGGTTAAGTTAGGGACAATATCGATATTGTTAGTGGTGGGCCAAGGGTCCATCCCTCTAAAATCTTAACACACCTCACCCCCTCCTTCCCAGCCCCGCCCTCAACCCACCTTCCCCACTCCTGCCACCATCACCCAAACCCAGCCACCCCCCACCGCTCTATCTCTCTGTCTCTCTCTCTACCCACACCAAACAACAAGACCTACACCAAATGCAGCGAAAATAACAAAAGCCCTTCTCTGCAATTGAGCAGCACCACAAAACCCAGGTGGTGGTCTGGGGCTCTTCTAAAGCCGGACCCAAAGATGCTCATAAGGACAATAAACTGAAGATATCGGTTTCTTTAACAAAAGAAGAGATTGTCCAAACCCACATCAAACTTGTGAATTCCCAATTTGGGTTTTATTCTAAACCCAGATCCCAAATTTGGTTTGAGACAGAGGCGAAGAGATAGAGAAGAAGGCTCGGGGCAGTGGACAGCTGAAATGGGCATTTTGAGTTGAGCTCACAGAAGGAGAAATTTTAATATATATGTTTTTTAAAATTTTAAATTATTTAAAAAGAAAATAGTACTTAACTAATTTTTTGGTCTACATTGAGGCCACATGAGAAAAAAATTAGGAAGGGCTCATTATTATACCCAATACAGGGGCCCAGATTATAAAAATACTCTATATAAAATGGACTTCAGAAACACACCTAAAGCTCATTTACTGGGTAATAAAGAAGCTTTTAACTTCTTATAAATTACAAAATTGCTATCAATTTCTTAAAACAAGCCAAACCCAAAACCTCATAAATAAAAAATCCAAAACACTCAATAGGGTTCAAAGTAATTTAATAATCAAAATTAAATTCAATAGAGTCAGCTATTATTTTTTGAGTTAAAAAAAAATTATTTATAGAAATTAAATGATGTAAGGTTTATTTATATCATTACTACTAAAAACGGAAATATAATTAAATATCTCAAAAATTAACAAGGCTGGAAGATAAGTTACTGACAATATCAACCGAGCAAGCAACTCTGCATTCACTGATACTGATAGTAAAAGAATATGTTACATTTAGTGTACACTGAAGATACCCCTACAACATTATCTTCATTACATAATATCAACAGTAATGTCCTAGAAAGAATTTCAACAAAAACATGCTGCCACAATGCCAGACTAACTCTTAGGTACACAAGTTCTCTAACTCCGATTATCACCATCTTTCGTGTTTTGTTCTATCTCCCTCAATGTGTCGACGAGAAATGTAATGAAATAATGTCAAAGCAGCCATCATCAACTCATCAGAGGTATAAAAAAATGGTTGGTTTTGGCATTATAACATTTTTGTTTCTGGCCAACCTACACCTACTCAATGGAGAATGTACAAATTAGTGAGGAAAAAATTCAAGGACAAAGTGGAAGGCACTAATCTACAAACAAAGAGCAGAGGGTTATGTACAGGAGGCCATCAGCTATCTTCTTTTGCTTGGCAGAAGATCGTAAATATTGATCTGATGACAGCCAGTCTCCATGTATGCACGCATACAAGAACACATTGTCCATGGCCTGATGCTCGGTATTCCTGAAAGAAAAGAAAAAACGAGTTATGGTTATGGTTAAGAAATTTTTTAAACAGTTTACATATTTTGATACTGTTTTTTTATTCTATATTAAACCCTACAGCTCCCATCAGTGAGACTTATAATATAATAAAAAGAGGCATTTGTTGCAATGCATCATGCAGACTTGAGGCATTTGGTGCTTACATGCATGTCCCATGCAAAAAACATCATGTAGTGAAGAAAAATGCTGAACAATTACCGCAGTTGGAAGACAGCAAAAATATAGATAGAATTAGTCTCTCAACCAGGTCATGGCAGGGCTGCTAAGCGCGCAGACACTCCAGCCATCAATCCCATAAAAACAGAGATCACTTGGCTGGGTGCCATGAAAAACGACATTCACGAATCATATGAGTCGCTCTCTATTAACCGGATTCAAAGAAACGTGCCACTGCTGAATATAACTGTTCTTCTTCGAATGGCTTTGACACATAGTCATCCATCCCACACTTCATGCACTCTTCATTTGAAGCCTGAATCACATCAGCCGTCATAGCCAATATTGGCGTGTGCCAAGTTTGGATGTTGCCGAACATCTCAATTGATGGTTCCTTGAATGCAAGTTTCTCATTTACCTCACTCTCCATACCACGGATCAGCCGAGTTGCTTCAAACCTGCACAATTTTAGACAGTATTAAACTACAATCAATACTCAAAATGGGATTATTATATCGGCAACCAGTCATCATAGATGCTCAATACCTAAAACATTCATTTTTAACCCATTATCTTTTCCCTTCATATAAAATGATCATCTGGCATAGCAAGCAATCATATTAATACAAGTGTGAAACAAAAATGTAGAACTCTCCGACCAGGTAAGCGAACAAGATAGTATGAAGTTAAAATCTTAGAGACCCAATAACATAAACACTGTCCAATTCATTAGTACTTGCTAAACTTGAAGAATTAACATAGAAGAAACACCTAATATCAGCCACCAATTGACCAATAAGCAAGAAATTCTGGTTCTAAGTTACCAGCCAATACGCTGAAAGTTGACCTCATTGATTCCAAGTGAGGCTGCCATCAGGTCTTCTATATGCTGTCAACCAGGAAGGGTGGTAGACCTATACTAGGATCCTTAGCTATGTAGGATCTGTACTCTAGCTTCCTTTGCATTCAAAGCTAAAACAAGAATTTGAAAATCAAGAGTAGGCAGATTGATTACCCATCCATTTCTGGCATTTGGAGATCCATAAAGCAAGCATCAAAATTGTGTGGTGGCTTAAGCATTAATAAAGCAGCCTTTCCGCTGTCCACACAGGTGACAATTGCTCCATACTTCTTTAAAGCACCTTCAGCCACTCTTCTGTTAACTGCATTGTCATCCACCACCAAAATTTTCTTCTCTCTCAGTAACTTTCCCAGAGTAGGTTTTTTAAGATTTAGAAGCCTCTTCTTACGACTTCCAAGGGCATCTTGGAAGCAAGCAATTATGACACTTAACCGAAGAGGCTTGATCAATACTTCATCTACAAGACCAGCAGATGTTAGTTCCTTGCGTTCAGTAGGTGTAATGGATGTAGCCAAGAGAAATATCTTCGGAAGGTTTATGAGGGATTCCACGTTGTTGCTTTGCCTGTGCTCTTTAAGCGACTGACTGAATGTAAGATCAGTTTCTTTATCCCAAACATCTTTGTCAATAAGAACCATGGTCAACTGTGAGGAGAGACTGCACGCAAGACAGTTAACAATGCATCAGCAACATCAAACCCCTAGTTGCAAAGTTATTAGTAGAAAATTTACATTATTCAACTCCATAGAAGAAAAATCTTTTTGTCGTGTTTATAGTAATTAGATGCTAGAGAAGAATATTAAAACCATGAGTATTCAATGATGTGTTTCAGGACTTAAAGGCAACTTCAAATATAAACTATAATTGAAAAAGTAAAACTTACCTTGCATTGACAGAATTAGATAGATAAGAGCATGCTGATTTCAGACTGGAAGCTGTATCTACAAATATCCCCAACCTCTGCACATGGTATTTTGTGACCTCAGTTCGGATGATACTTTTATCTATTACCAATGCTCTCAGCCCTTGAAATTCTGAGACAGCTGGTTCATACTGTTGCCACTTTGTCTCTAGAGAACTGTTTTCTCCCTTTCCAAAAGATCCAGTAAATGAAAAGGTACTGCCAGTCCCAGGTTCACTCACAAATCCTATCTCCCCACTCATGAGATCTACCAGACGTTTGCTAATGCTCAATCCTATTCCAGTGCCGCCATAAGTTCTAGAAGTTGAGCTATCTGCCTGCATAAAAGGTGTGAAAATGCGACTTTGTGCATCAAGAGGAATTCCTACACCAGTATCCTCAACTGTTACTAGTAATTTGATCATATCAGGTTCCTCCATTGTTGTGCTGCTTAATGCTTTAAAACATTCCCAGCTTTTCCATCTATCAACAACGGGAAAGCCACTCAATGTATTATAAGTTTTGTTTGAGATGTCTCCAACTAAATTCAAGCCTTGTCTTAAAACTTCGTCCATAACATCCGGTGGAGCCCTCACTTCATCTGCCAGATGCACCGAGACAAATATGTGTCCTTTGTCATGGGTGAACTTCAATTTAAACAAACAAACAGACAATTAGCATAACAGTTAAGTAATGAATGAAACCTGTAAGATTTTTTATATGCGTAAAATACTATAAATTATGGATGGTTCTAAACACAACCATCCGATTGACCTAAATTTTAGCATAATTCATGGAAACTGCGGACCTAACCACATACAAGTCCCAAATTCCCAATTATATTGTTTCATTTCTGACCTTTAGTACAATACAGAGTTTATTTGCGTTAAAGACCATCATAATCATATCAGTTATATCTTCAAGAGCATCTCAAATAGCACCTTGTAGCCTTTCAT